CATAAAAACCAGCCTCACCAGAATTGGTGGCAGACTCCAGAGGTCAATTTTCTTGCTGACTACCGATACTGTTCTACAACCCTCACAGCGAAAGCCTTGGGAGGTGTCCATCATTTCGACATCTGTGAAACCGTCAAGTATGTCCGTCAGTTCAATCATCTGGCAGATACGATCTCGAGCCTCATGAACCGAGGGGTGCACCTCAAAATCCTAGTAAAACATATAATAATTATAATCATTACAAGAATGATGATAACTTTAAGAATCAGTAGCCAGCATATAGTGCCAAAGACAAATATGTGATAAGAACGATAATTTAATCCATTGTGGGAAATAAACAATACAGTGGAATCCTAGAAGCATCCTTACCATCAACAAGTGTAACAAATTGTTAACAAAAGTAAAAAAGTTCAGCATAATAAGCCAAGCAGTGAGCAAAATAATGCAATAACAAATATATAAAGCAATTTTTTAACTGTAAGTCGAAGGAGCTACAGTAGCATAAGGAAAGCTAAATGATACCTAAAAATCTAATTTCTTCCCAAAAAGTCCTTCGTATTAGTGAATTGATTATATGAATTTATGGTACGATTAAAGTTAAGAGTACTCCTACTAATTGTTAAGCTTAATTCCATTTCGAGTAAAAGCGTTTAGTGAAGAGGTTCGAACGTCGATCCTACCAGAAGACGAGTGCGTTTTCTTCTTGATAAGTTGTCGATTGGCAGTACTAGAACTTTATTCTCGATGCTGTTCTCGAGGTAATCTTCTTCGACTCCAGTAAAAAGAAGCTAAGCCTTCGTCCGTCGTATGACAGATATCATCAGAGTGAGGTATCATCCTTACAACTACATTCGAGCTAACGATCAAGGGGAATCCCCGTCGTCTCCTGGTGGGATCGACCTTCGAATCTCTTCAACAAACTCTTTCACTCGAAGTAAGCTCAACAATTATGCAAAACCAGATTCCTCAAAACCCAACTTTTATTTGCATATCCTCCTACTAAGACAACAACTTAAGGCAATTCACACACACTTACACCCCCATGATGGGAAAAGCTCGACAATATTTGACAAAAATAAGCAATAATTATGTGATTATGAATGCAGAAAAATATGCGCATTAGGTAAGACAATAAAAGCTTTCAGCGAAACTATACAACAAACAAGCGTGCAATGACTCATACTTTTTCCCTTTGCGAGTATTGGTTTGGTTAGATTACATACGCAGCCATCACCCAAAGCACATTTAACACAAAGAGCATTCGTGAATATCACTCATCCGCACTCATAGTTTACGTCGACCATTCAAATCTTGCCCCTGTATGGAGCTTGCCTTAGAACCTTTCAGATCTGGACCTTTCGAACACTTCAGAAATCATCATTTACTTAACGTAAGTGAATCAGGCAGAAAGAATTACAGATTTGGTGACTTCTCAAGGACCTTGTCTTCTCTGAAGTGAACGGCTCTCGCCAGTTATTTGCCTCAGAATCAGTCTGTGAAGAGTCCCGAGGCTTATCTCAGTTTACCTCTTACTTTGAAAACGTTGCCTCGTCAACCAAGTCAGGTACTCTCCTGGAGATCAGTCAAGCACTATTTCAGCACACCTCTTCTGATGTGTGCCATACTCTCGTACGTCGCCCGTCCTCTTCTGCATCTGTGATAATACAAGTTGGCCAGACTTCAACGTTTGAGGTCGGTTCTCAGCCAGAATCTACGCTCCAAGCAAGGCTTTACAAAAAACGTTTCTTTGCGTCCGCATCTACAGGACCTGATTTGCTCAGCAGAAGCAGAGCCTTTGTTGCAGGACCGACTCCAATAAAACAACACCTATCTACATTGGCTTTCCAGGGCGTCCTATGCATCGGCGTCTCCATCGGTGGTCCTTGGTTGACCCGTTCCAGCGCCTTCTCCTATTCGCCTGCTCACCTCCCTTCAACACAAACACACATAAACCCAACCAGCCTAATAAAGCCTTGTGATATAAAGTCAAATGCAGATACGATGTAGCTCACCATTTCGCGATTTGATTGATAGTAGAGATGAAGGGAGGAAGCACCCCAGTCTAACGCCAAATAACAGCAGTTTTCGCCAAGGAAAGAGTCGTTGTTGCAGGGCAGGGGGCAGCCAAGGCAGAAGCTGGTGGAATAAAACAAGAATGAGGTGGAGAGTTCTAAATTGTGGAAGTCGCTTTCAACGACAGAAGGGAAAAGCCATCTAGTTAACTGTTCGGTTACGTAAACAAATAGCGAAGACAGTAGACGGATAAAGAAGATCAAATGAAACTGTATAGCAAAGTCTCCGTTCGAACACATTATCGCCCCTAGGCTCTCATGTGTGTACTTGCATGCCAATGTTAATGTATGCTAGTTGGCCATAAACAGACACTATTCTTAAAAAAAAGGTATTGCAAACACCCTAAATTCCGACATTGGAAATATATTTTTTAATTACGTAATAATACCGTTGAGACAAGCGCAATAGAAGAAAAAAAAAAAAAAGACATAATACTTGGAGACTACTTGGTCGACCTTACCTCAACTAAGCTCTAACCAGACTTTTATGCTAGTCGCAGAAGGAAAGGGGGGAGGGAGTGCATAGGATGCTGACTCCATCCGACTACTGAGGGCCTACTAAAAGAAATAATATCAGAGATAGCCAATTTTTAAGTTTTAAGTTCGAGTAGTGATTAAGAAAATAAGGCTGAATTTAAAGTAAAACCGATCAGCTCCAAATTTGAAAAATTAAGTAAGCATAAATACCAACAGAAGCCATCTTGAATAAAATAAATGCAGGAGTTAAAGGGTCTAAATAATATTGACAGAAAGTGTTGACAATTCCAGATGGTAGCGGATGGATTTCCTATACTAGTTATGCATTCCAAGACTAGAGAGTCTCGCAAACTGCTAAAGTAGAGACATGGGTTTCTTCAAAAGTTTACAATTTAATCTATCATAAAAGGCGACATCATCTGGACTCCAATGACAGCCTCATAGTAACCTTTTGCAGTTAAAAGACAAATATGAGTCTACTGCAAAGCTAAATCATTCGGACTTAAACAATGAATGAATAGAGTTCTCTACTGGCATTAAGGTCACACACCTCAAATAAGGAAATAAGGCTATGGCCAAGTGGCCAAGTGAGTAACGTGCCTA